TTTCGCGGCTGATAATCAAAGCTATTCGTATTAAATGCGCGTAAGCAAAGTTTAGAGTAAGACGAGCCCACATTTTCGATAAGTTTCTATCGATAATGCGATCCTTCTTAGGCCTCTCTCGCCATCTCCCATCGAAGAAAGTTGCTTCCGGGGCACGAAGTTCGATTAAGAGAAGCGTTTACGAGGATCGCTGTAGGGATAGTCTGAACTTTATGGACTATAGAGAATTTTTTATGACGCGCTTGCGAAATACATCGTCAGGATCGAAAGTGAATATTCGTGTATTCCATAGTTATTTCCCGCCCTAACTCTGTTTCTCGTTTTCTCTCAATTTTTCTCTTTCTTTCGATCTATTTTTTAATCGAAACAGTTAATTCAATTATCTGCGAAATCGATATGATTCGCATTTCTATCGCATTTCTATCAAAACAAGACAATCCACAATTGTCTGTGTGTAGTTACAATATAGGATATTTTAAATCGGAGAACATTAGAATAAATTTTTATAAGTCGTTATTACAGAAATATGAATGAATTCACAGTTACTTTTTGAAAATAATCAAGAATTTGAATTGTAAGTGATTGAGATTAAAACGTTGCTTGACATTTATACTCTAATTTTTAATTAAACGTCAATCAGTCTTTGCTTTAATTTAAAAACATTTTATTTATACCTTGTCTTATATATTAGAATAATTTAATTAATTGAATTAGAATAATTTTTTATATTCTATTTTTCTTCTTCCTTTATCGAGCTTACGTATATTGTGTTTCTTGAAAGATTCATCCAGTTACAGTTTTACTTTTCATATTTTTCTATTTTATGAATTGAGAGCTGCCGCTTTGCTTTATCACCAGTTAAACGTAAATAAATGTACATGTCATTTTCCTCTTCGTGCTTCTGATCCCATCAATTTTCACTCTCTTATGGTTATCCTTTGACGATTTGGAAATTTATGTCGTCCTCTTGCGTATTTACGCATCACTCTCCGGTTTTCCGCAAGAAGATACTCGAAGAACTATTTCCTGGAAAGGAGGAGTGACTTGTCCCAAAACGACTCGTCAGGATGCAATAAGATGCTGAAAGAAGCAACGAGTCATGCCTCGAGTATGAAAATTTTTCTCTATGTATTCCCTTGGAGGTCTGTCCTGTCTTAAAACATTTTTCACGGCGGAAATCTTATTTCCTGCGAGTGTGACGAGAACGATCAATATGACGTAAATACTTCGCGGTACAAAAATGCAACGTATTGTTTACGAAATCAGTTTCCGGTTTTGGTTCAAACTAAATGTCGATTTGTATTTTCTGCTGAGTCTGAATTTGTCTCATTGTATTATCTCCACATAAATATATATTGGGTCGGGGAAGATATTTCTTCGTATTTAAAAAAATTTTTTGCAAAAGTTTTTTTCATTTATTGCAAAATTTTTGTTACAATTATATCATTCGTTAGAGCAAGTTTCAGTTTTAAGAATCTGTTTTTTTAATTGCGGAGCATTCTGATTTTGATTGCTCCTTTACTTAACTCGCGAATAACTCAGGAACAAAAAATCATAAGAACATTAAATAAAAAATGATTTTGTAGGTAATTTTAAGCTTTCACGTAGGTGATCGAAAATTTTTGTAAATTTTTTTGGGCACATGAGAGACCCCCAAAGTGAAAAGAAAATTTTTTATTTTTTTCAGCTTATAGTTTTTTAAATGTAATACTTATCAAACTCACAGAAATTCAAAAAATAATAATCGAAAGTAGAGATTTCAAGCTTTAAAATCTTTTTTAAATTTTATTTTTGACGAAGATATTGTATATACAATTTTGAATTAAAAAATACGAAGAAACTTTTTCCCCGATATTTATATAAAACAATATATATATATATATATATATATATATATATATATATGTAATATATATCTTTATAATTTTTGCTGTCATGCTTTTCAAGTAATTTTCAGATGTAAAGGGAAAAACCTGTCATGTAATTAATACGACGCTATGTAAATGTGCTTGTAATGTCGCGAAATGAGTCAGTTGGAAAATTCAACGACATTCAAGTTGCGTAACGTTCAAAATTTACATGTCGGCGTCGACAAAGCAGTCCAAGGAAACTAAAATGACGTGCAAATTAATGTTTAAATGATGATGAACACAAATTAGAAAGCAAAATAAAAATGCACCTACCTGTTTGAAGGCAACAGAAGAGCTGATAAAATCTTTTGCCACTAATATATGATGAGATATGAAAATATTTATTTAAAGAGAATCTAAATAAGAATTCTGAAAGAAAAAAAATGGTAAAAAGAATTATATTAAAATCGGATTATTGTATAATTCTATATCTACTTTTCTTATTTTCATTTGCAAACACTATTCTCTTAAACTACATTTTTTAATAAAAAAATATGATAGAATAAAATATGATGTATAAATATAATAATAAAAAATGTGACGTTTGAGATACACGAAACAAAAGAAAAGAAAATTGACGCTTTTTAATTAAAAATATATCTTTTGATTTAAAACATAAAAAATGTATATATGATACATAGGTTCTTCTTCCTTGGAATAATTTCCGATATTATACTCCGTTCCATTTTTGTAGAATTAGAGGCGAAAGATTTCGAGCGCTCTTGTATCCAGTTATCGTCAGGTGAGGAGCGTGTAAACGAAAAAGTGCAGAAAGGTCAACAGAAGATTAAGAACAAAGGCGATTGCCGAGGTGATGACGTTTAATTGTAAATCAATAAAATTAATGAATTAAATAAATAAATTAAAAATGTTTATACACATATTTATATATATAATATATATATAATATAATATAAAACATAAATAGAGTCCTGCGCGTACGAGACTGTTGGAGAACAGCGCGCATCTCTCGCTCCTGTAACTATGTATCCATTGTTTTTACTTGCACACGTTATCGTCGTCGAGGTTTCTGATGGATGAGATCATTATTGGTCTCTCTTGATAATATCTTTCCGAAGATTCGCCCGATACACAACTTCCAATTCATTGACACGATATTATTACCATTCCGTTTCACAAGAACTCTCGTGAGCTTTTTAATTAAAACAGAAATAAATGAATATACCGTCAATGATCCTTCACATGTATTATATACTTTAAGGATGGAGAATTTCAAGATTAGATTTTATTAAAATCTCAAAAACCTCTTGACCGACTACCTCGTGTCTCTATCCTCATCGAGATGAGATTTCATCATCGCGAATTCCCCTCTTTCCGTTCTTATCTCCCTCTTTTTTTCACCTTTTTATCTACCTTATATTTCTGCTTTTAGCTAGCCTAATGCGCGTTATACTATCATATTTTACATTAAATCGTTTTTTGCCCTGTGGTCTTTCTCCCGCGACTCATTCTGACTGGCCAATTTCCATCTCCTCCTTTCGCACCATTTTTCTATTTACGCAATCCCTAATTTGCGATTCAACAAACTTCGGAAATGTGCTACTATAAATAAAGACGTCACTGCTGTTGGAAGTCTTCGATTCTCAGTGAAGACTTAATTTTTTTCTATCGACTTATCACATTGAGTTATCACAATGACATCATTGTAGAATGTGACATATTTTCAATTATTTTATCAATTGTCACATCTACGTGATCATTGAGAATATTTTTTTAGCGATTTGACATATCTATTAGAAATTTAGTTCTCTAAATAAATACTACATTTCGTTAAAATGTCATTAGAGTGAGCGTAAGAATTATTTTTCTAATGCGTTATGCAAATAAGAATGTTTTTAGACACTTTTTAATATTTTTCCAACCAACAATCATTTTATGTACGAGCATTTGTTACTTGCGCTTGTTTTTCGAAACATAAAGACGGAAAAATCATGGGTTAGGATTCTCTCTTCATGTTCATTGCATTATTTGAACATTTTGCCGGTCTTCCAACAGCGGCGAACATGCAACGGGTTAGTTTCCTAGCCCACCCGCGATTTCAATAAAACTGAGCCGTGGAATAATAAAGTCGTTAAAAAAGGTCGGAAGAGAAAGATAATCGGCTTGGCGAAATGCAAGTTTGATCCGTAGAAACTACTTTCAGAGACGGTTCTTCCTTTTTTTTTCAAAAATAATTAATAACTTTTCAACATTCCATTCGTATTTCTTGCTTCAGGCTAGTTATTAATTTCCAAGAAGAGCCTTCATGGATCGAAATGTGAATCAAGACTATCATCTATCTATTGAAGCCAAAAACTTGTACTTTTTCCTTAATTTTTTTTCATACTTACATCGCTTTACGACGTGATCTTATCGACGTTCGATACTCCTGGACCACTCAAGCCATACATACGTCGTGGCTTGATTGTGGCTTTAAAGAGAAAAGAATTTGTCGAGAGGAGGAGTGAAGGCCCTTTACGTTCTGATCGTCTACTAAGCGACAATCTCGTTGTAGTCGCGTCCATCCTTGATCAAGACTTTGGGCTCTTTGGTATTGTTCTCCGATTCACGGAGACTACGGAGAAAAATGCGACACAAACCGCCTCACAGGCGTGCTTCTATGTCGTCGTTCATGGACGGTGTTTTTTTTTATCTAGGTCAAGCACCGTCATTCGAATTCGCGAATAGTTACTCGAGAGCTCTCCCTCAATGATACCCCATCGAAAAGAGCATCGAGAGAGTCAAGAGACCAACTTCTTTCCTTTTTTTTTTCCTTCTTTCTTTCATACACCGGCACACGCTCATTTGCACATTCATGATCTCTCGCACCGTCGTCCATTCTTTCTGTCATTTCCATTCTCTCTTTCTCTCGCCAAAGAATTTGCCGCGGAAGCGCGAGTACATCGCGTAATGATATTTTCTAGAAAGAAAGTACTGGTAATAACGCTCGAAGAAGAGAAACAAGAAAAGAAAGAAGTGGAAAGGAGAGTAAAAATGAGAAGAGGTAAAATAAAAAGATGTAGAAAGAAAATAGAAGAAGTATCCACACAGAAGAGAAAGAAGAATGAATAAAAATATATTATGATAAAAAAGAAGAGCAAAAGGAAATAAAAGAGCGTACAGAGAAAGAAGAATAATAAGGAAAAGGTGTATAAGTAGCGTCAGCCGTAGAAATTGAAGAAGGTACGAATGCCCGGTCCAAACTATTTGGAACCTAACTTGTTCTTATTATTATAAAATACATAGGACCCGTCCTAATGCCCGAGATCGACGGATTCGAAATTCGTCATTTCTAATTCTTTATCTCAATTTCTCTCCCTTGTCTAATCATTTCGCGTCCGTGTTTCTGATCCGCCTACTTTTCTTCGTTCATACGCTTTTCCCTTCCCTCTTTGGTCGCGCGTTGGCCCTCTCACGACTCTATCTCGTGGGTTCCTACACTGCAGTATACCGCGAGGGTAGAAAAAGGTCTACTCATGATTAAAAAGGGCCCCGCGCGATTATCGCTAGCAGTAGTACGAGGTAGAGAGTCCCAGCTTGCAGGAAAAAGGTGCCCTACGCCGGTTATACACACTTCCGGTGCTGCTGACATCCTTCGTCTCGCACCGCAGACCCGTGAAGCCCTCCGCGCATCTGTAACAGAAAATTTGAACAAATCAGTGATCAATTAGTTTGCATTAAAGTGATCATATTTTGCAAAATATGTAGTAGAAGGACAAGAAAATAGAAGCAATATTTTTGTTATAATGCTATAATAAATGTTATAATTATGCTTTGCAAAGTAATAACATGATATTACTTGATTTTTAATTAATCTTTATATATATATAGGTATCTAATGGAAATTAAAGTCGTCATTTATTTTTATTGCCTTTAATTGTCTTTTTATCGATTTTCAAAATTTTAATTTTTCTTTCCATGCTATCCTCTTTATTTTTATATTAGAAATTAATTTTAAAAACTATATTCACTATTTTTTTAAACCATTAAGCGAGACATCTAATTATGTGGATATAAATACAAACACATTTTTACATATACAGGGAATAGAAAAAATAATATGAACGCTTGGAAAATATACTATTTATTAATTTTACTACTTGTTTTATCAATAAGAGGTTACCAAGAATATTGTATTATTTTTTAGTAGAACATCTTTTAATTACTTATATATACATACCTATGTATATATATATATATATAATATTGGAGATAAACATTTGCTGCTCACTCTATCTAAAATTGATCTCTGTTTAGAGAATTGCATTAATTAGGAAAGATATTAAAGTTTTTTCTAAAACTTTAACATCGTTTCTAGCTAATGCAATCCTCCGATTTAAATATCATCGAATTATTTTTAGTTTTAAAGATCAAAGTGAGATTTCCTCCTCTAATATCTTTTAAGTAATTATAAACGATATTCTGCTAGAAAAATGATATAATATTCTATTATAGTAGTTGCATGTAGCAGTTGCTATACATATAATTATTCAAGTACGTATGATTTTATTCTGACAATGATAAAATATGTGTTAAAGATAATAAATTGACTTCTTATTAATAAAATAAGTAGATATATTTCCTAGGTATTCATATTATTTTGTGTTTATTCGCTGTAAAATTATATCTTTATTTAATCCTTCGGCAAAATGCATTTTAATTCTTCTGTCAATAATAACAGTCTTCAGAACAGAGCACATTTTTATTATTCCAGCTTACATAAAAAACTGAAAAAGTTCTGGTACACTTGTGAAAGTTTTAACAATGAGTTTTTACTATGATAGAAGTCAGATTATATTTTATTTACTTTTTACAGATTTAAATTTATTTACCAAGATTAAAAATAAAAATATTGATATCTTTAAAAACTCCAGTTGCAGAGAGTTGATGCATATTCAATGTCTCTATTTAATCTTAATTTAATCATTATCTTAATTCTCAATGATACTGCCTTAACCAGAGTGTCTCGCTGACAAAATTTATCGTTCATCTCGGGACTTTTCTCAGCAACGTATGTGAAACATGAGTTTCTTAATTTAACTAAATGTATGCGTCGTATCAGAACGCGACGGGGTCTGCAAAAGTGCGGGGGAGACATGGATGGAGACGACGGAGATTTCGAGAAGAGACAGACCGATGCGTCGTTTCTTTGGAAAAATAATGTTATGCCGTCGTCGTCTATTTAAAGATTGCGGTTAACTAACCGCGACGAGACGTTCGAAAAGCTACCACGGAATTATAAGAGTCCGGACGTTCTCTCGGTGTCCGGATAAATAAATTATAGCACGACTTTTCCTCTACCAATCTTCCTTGCATTTTGATTTTTCCTTCTATGGGCGAGTCATTTCCTCATTTTTCAATTATAAACGTTGTCTGTCGCTATCTTTGCCCTTTTGTCTTTTCGCCATCGTCGCTCTATTGAATTTTACATCTACAAGAAATTAACAGTATGAAAGCATATTTTGTAAAACGATATACACGTAGCGAGTCTTGCTCGCCTCATATTAATTTTTTTAGAAAAAAAGACATGGATTAATTCATAAAAGTTAATCAAATCTAAAGTCGTGCTCGTGAATAGATGCATAAATATCTGATAATATTCTTGGCGGAACGTATGCATCGATCCTTAATCCAGCATTGCGATCGCCGTAGAAGTCTGGTCTGGAGAGAAGGTACCTCTGTCGTAGTGTCTGGGTGCTCGGCGGTGTGCGATAAAGTGTATTTTTGTCACGACAAATTTGGAGCGTCTGAGACTTGGCACGTCGTTTTTATTTCGTGAAATCGCATGCATAGGTAAAACGAGAGCGAGGAAAAAAGAAGAGGAAAGGAGAACAACGGAAGGAGGAATGAAGAGAAGCGAAGGGAGGGGAGAGAGAGAGAGAGAAGGAGGCAGGAGGGACGGAAAAAGGGAGAGGGAAAGAAGGAGGAAGAGAGAGGAAAGTAACAGGAGACATATGTTAAATTAAAGGGTTAACGCGATAAATATACGTAAGATCGAGTGTGAAGACCGCAATGATGATGGGTCATTTTGGACCAAGATAAACAATTTATTTAACGTTTGGAAGGTTGAGCAAATTGGACTTTTCGTAAACCTGATTTGAAAATTTTTCAGCGCTGCTTTTACAGCGGAATTTACGAGGACCAATGTTAAATATACCATCCCTCTTCCCTCTTGCCACGGAATTTACTGCCAAACGAAATAAAACAGCGGCGTAGATAACACAATTTATTGTACCATTCACTTAAAGCCATTAACGTGTCCCGCTAACTTTGCCCCCCCCCCTCCTCCTCCCTTCTCCCTCCCCCCGAGTAATTGGTCTTCTGTTGAGATTTATCGTAATCATGCGTGTATTCCCTATGCCTCGGGCAACTCTTTCACACACGCCACAGTAAAGACTAACTCATGATTCGAAATGACCAGCAAATCGTTCGTTTATTTACAAGAATTAGTTAGGTAAGACATATATATATATATATATATATATACAGTGAAATTTGAATTGGATAGATCTGAAGTAATGCTCAAATTACAAAAAATTTTGACTGTAAGGTATGCTAGAAAAAAATTGATAAGCAAAAAAAAAGAAATAAAGAAAAGATATATAAATAATGTAATGATTATAATAAATAATGTAATGATCTGTGATGATATATAAATAATGTAATGATGTGATGATATATAAATAATATAATGATTATAATAAATAATGTAATGATCTTTTCTCGTAACTAGATATATTGCGTTTTTTGTCAGCATCTATGCATATCGTTATCTACGTGTATTAATACATTTACCCAAATGAATCCCCGAGATTCGTCCTCCGTGCAATTTTGGTGAAAATTGGAGAAGTCATTGACAAAATTCGAGGATATCTTTAGAAACATCAATCTGAAAATTTCTCGCGTCTCTGTCTTAATTATTTTTATTAACGAACGGAAATGAAATATCTTCGATGAGAATGATCCTGGATGGTAGTTAAAAATCGTTTTTTCCCGTTGACAAATATGGGGAGTAATTCTTGGTTAATTTGTGTTACAACAGCGTGCGAATCGTGATGTACAGTGTACTTGTAAAAAATCATGAATGTGACTCAATTCAAGATCGTTAGAGAAGATTGTGGAAGATCCATTTTTCTTCCGCTCTCTAAATGTCGATTAATATTTCACTTTTTGAAGATTATCTCATGAGCTTTTAACAAGATAACTATTTTCGTCTCTCGAAGTCTATCTACGACGATCATAGTAACAGCTATGATAAACTCTTTTTTAAATTGAAATTTAAAACTTAATTCACAATAGGATAATATACGTATTTCTTTCATATTATGTTATTTTGAAGAAATCTCATATAAAAGATGTATCGCAGTCTTGGAATATCTTATGCAATACGCGCTGAAAAATTTGCTTTATGCAGCACATACTTTCTGGTATGTATAATTGAAAATTGCTCGACACAATATAATGTAATAATAAATATAAATGTTAAACTTAGTAGGTTATATGCCCCAAAAAATCATTTGCCAATGATTGATTAACTATATATAATTTATATTTAACCATTTAATATTAATTATGAAGTATTTTATATTTATATATCCTTACATTAATAATTAATATGTCTCGCAGTGAAATTATACGATATTTGAGGTATACTTTTAGATAATATGATCTTTAAATTATTGAATAATTTAGTTGTACAAAAGAACATATGAATTAAAATATACACTAAGAAATAATTCATTTCATATTAAAATAATGAAACTTTTAAAATTTTAAATAAATTCCGAATTAATGAAAATTTGCTTAAAATTTTTCTGAAAAATTCGATTTTGTTATATATATATATATATACATATATTCTATAATTTAATTTAACGGATTAAACTTTTTTAATTTTTAAAATTATATAGATTTATAACTTTTTTTATTGTCATACAAAATATTTAGTGCTGTACTCTACAAAAAATACTATGGTTAAATAACATCTCGTATAATTAATCGGAGAAAAGCACGACAGAAATTTCCAACGTTGTTGTATTTATTAAAATCATGAGCTGACCACTGTTTTAACAACATACGGACGAAATTCGCGATACTTCACGAGTTAATTTTTACAGAAAACGATGCTTTAATCACATTTAAGCTGTACAAAGGCTGTAATGGCGACAAGTGCCGACGAGATGCACGTAGTCCGTAGTAATAACTCAAAACGTTTTTCCGTGTGACACTATGGATTAAGAATAAACAAACTAGACAAAAAATTAATTAAAACTCAGAAAATCCGTGAGAAAAGCGCGGGAAATATATTCCGACGAATGTTGTCTTTCTGTTCTCAGTCTGAACACAGTCGTTCTTTTTTTCTCAGTATTAATTAAAAGAAGCACAGCAATCCCGAAGAAAGGTGAATCGCTTTTTTCCGAGGCCCGCATTTAAACGTAATTTTAAGGAGGCGGCTTTCCTTTTATAATATTTTTTGCAACGACGGTAGAATCTTGTAATTGTAGTTACAGTGTCAAGTAAAAAGAATTTCTATATATTACGTGAGATATTTCGATCTATGATCTATTTTTCATACAAGATTTTTTGACGAATTTATGTATTCAATTTTATTGCGATAATTTGACATGAAGTTT